CGAGGAGCTCTCCCAAGAACCTCCAAATCAGCCCGGAGGCTTCAGAGGACCTCCGCCCCCCTCCGGGATAGATCGGCCTGAATAAGTGCAGTGAAGAATGGGGCAGCAATTTACGAGGCCAACCGGATCACCGTTGTCAAAACCAAAAAGTCGGCTCGCAAGTCTCAAGCGCCTTCGACCCACAATCCCAACTCTCAACCTCCCCCCCCCGCCCCGCCATCGTATCCCCGCCGTCAACAAACACTCTGCGCACGGATCGACCTCCTGGATATCTACGAAACAAGTATAATAACGACACGGTAGCTTCACCTACTGCCTCCGCAACTTCCTACATTGTCACACCTGCGGCAGTTCCCACGATGGTGATGGCTGTAATGGCTCCTTCTTAATGTGGCTTCTATGGCAATGCCACTCAATATGGATCCGAGCAGTCCCATCGTTTTTTCTTGGTAAAACCCTGGTCCATTGCCCCCAGACCACGCGTGTGTGCCAGGCGCAGATGAGCTGTTCAGCATTGTAAGTCGCCGCACTCCCGATCCCGCCTCCGGTCTTAGTGACTCTGTCCTGACATCGGGCTCAGGTGAGTGGGGAGGGAGAGAGCGAGGAAGACGCTGCGAAAGTCACTGTCACAGTAAACTTATTCACGCGCAAGTCACCGTTCCTGCGACCGTCATGCTGCGGAGCGCACGGTAGACACCGTCATTCGCGACCGTCGAGCTGTCATTAAACAGCTTTAAAGACATTGCGCAAGTGAATTGGCGCAGCCACGATAACATGACAGAGGCACATGGTTCGTACGAGACGCATATTATCAACATTCGTCTTTTCCCCTAGTGAAGTCGGGTCTTAAGGATGTCTGAACAACGGCAACAATTGCTTTGACGGGCAAAAATTTGGTTGAGCACGGGAATATGGACCTTCCTGCCAAAAGTGGCCTGGCCCTGAATTCCAGGGGAGTGAGGGTTAGTGCATGGAAGAAGGTACCCCTGGGAATGTAGCGCGATGCCACCTGTAGTACTAGGGGGGCCCGTATTCTCGACCTCGTACTTTGGTCCACTTTGGCTCCCCGCAGCCACAATGCGCGACGTAGATTATCCAGCTAACAGGGTGGGCAGACCCAGGGGTATAGCCTTCATCCAACTTTTTGCTGGTTCACTGAAAGTGGTCACCCGGCTGGGGGGAGGGGGGGGGAAGGGTGGTTGCCTACCCCACATAATAATCGTCATCATCATTATCATCATCAGCAGCAGCAACAGCAGTCCGGGCTCAGCTTGACGCACTTTCATATATCCATGGCAAAGGCGGTTACGAGGAACCTAGGATAGCGACTTCTACAAAGCAACTACAAGGCATCTGACGACTTTAGAAACATGCAGTATGCCAGTGACTCGACTCAGGGCTGTGACAAAGTGTGGCGGTGAAGCTTGTCTTAGACGTACGTTAAACAAATTTCAAAAGGACTACTTTGCAGTTTGAATGCGAGGCAAGACTTACAGGGCATCGGATGGTGCCATCTCCTGTATGCTGTTAATGTCCTCGTCAATGGCATAGAGAAGGGAATAAAAGCAAGCGAAACTAAAGGAAATGAAAAAGTAGCAGTATATGAATTCTGTTAATAAGAATTGGTTTTTCAATGACAACAAAAAAACAATACGCCAAATAGAGGAAGCGGGACCCTTACTTGCGATGATTTGTAAACTCGGTCAGAAGCTGTAGAAATTCAGCGGCTGCAGTGAGAAAGCCCTGCCTTTTAGACGTGTCCGAAGCGTCTTGGGAGAAGGCCAGCTGTGTGATAGGATTCAGAAGCCCCGGTTCAACTATGCCACAACGCACAGTTTTTACCATAGCTGCAATGGCCGACGACAGTTTTCTTAACAGCTGCGCCTTCTGTCTGTTGGAGGCGAAGAGACAGTCAGTTTCGGATGCGAGTACTTACAAAAAAAGAACGGGACTCACTCGAAACTCCATCGCATGTTTCGCAGAACCTGGCCACGGATGAGATCAGTCAGGCTGTCGCAGTAGTGAGCGAATCTGAAGGTAAAGTTTCAAGAAAGGACACTGTCTACAAATGCCTGCTCTCTAAACGTTGACCAGGAGTGCGGGAGTTTATACAACACTACAGACGAGGACCAAGCGCAAATGGATCAATGCCAAAAATCAAGGCCAGAGGACTTAGCTAAAAAGCTGGTGTACAGTAGGTGGGCTTACTTATCAAGTGTCAACCAAAATTCTGAAATGCGTTTTCGCTACGAAAAGACTACTTAAGTAGGGTTTTAAAAGTAATAATCGTGCAGCATAATTCTACAATAATTCAGACACCCCGGGATGTCAGCTTTCGAACGAACATCTTTCCGGCCGCATGCAAAAACCACGCTCTGTAAAGAATGACTACTTGAGTAGCGTGAATTTTTCTCATTGATTTTCCGTGCCCTAAAAAAGTAAATTACATTTCACGCAAAACATGCCTAAAAATATTCACTCTTTTGCTCATTCGGTAGGAAATTATGTCTTCTTTAAATTTTATCCTTGGAGGAAGGGTATAATTCGGTTTTCAAAATCTTTTCCAATTCCCGGATAATTTTGAGCCCGACCAGCCGTTACACTTGCCTTCAGGGTTTCCAAACTACAAACCATATATTTTTGTGTACGGAAAACCATACATTTCTCTACGGCAATAAGAGTAAGCCATATGGGGTTCATAAAATTTTGCGGTGAATTTGAGCCCTATTGTAAACCTTACAAGCAACACTAGTAAGTGCGGAGATACTATGTTTTATGAACGGGCATTTCACGGCATAAAAAATCGCAGAATGAGAAACTTTTTTAACACCGAATTATACCCTTCCTCCAAGTACGAAATTGGAAAAGACATAATTTTCTACTGAATGGACAAAAGAGGGAATAATTATATGCAAGTTCTCCATGAAATATAATTGAATGTTTAAGGCGATTTAATAAAATCAGTGAAGAAAATTCATGCTACTCAAGTAGTCATTTTTTCCAGAGCGTGGTTTTCGCATGTGACCATAAAGATGCTCATTTGAATGTCGACATCTCCGGGATATCTGAATCATTATATAATTATGCTGCACGATGATTACCCTTAAACACCTACTTAAGTAATCTTTGCGAAACGAAAACGCATTTCAGAATCTTGGTCAACATTTCGCGAGTTAGCACAGCTACTGTATGTAGGGCATTCCAGCGGAAAATCAGGGCATTATAAAAAGAAAAGTTAAGAACCCAGTGCGACGGGGACAGACTGGAAATCCACAAACTAGGCTTGCCCGAAAATGACAAGGCCGGGCTGTTGATTATTGATACCAGCGTAAAGCCCTGACACTTCAGAGGGCTTGGCGTGGACAGCTCTTCTTTCCTGCATTGTGCTGGCAACTTGTGCGTGGTAGCGCGCGCCAGTGAAGCGCAACAATTGGAGGCTCTAGGGCCCGCTTGTCACCGTGCCCAGTCTTATCACCAGTCGCGGAGAGGTCGGTGATACATAACAGGTCGGGTGAGGCCGATGCCATTCCCCAACCGGCCAATCAGCGTCTTGCTCGCCGCAGTGGAACTGACGCGCTAAAAGTCACGACTGGGAAGGCTGTCAACTGACGAGATAGATCGATCCTCCCAGAGCTAAGGACGAGCCTGCAATCACTTCTTCTTGGTGCAGTCTTTATGGCACTCTCACTTACTTGAGAGCTGAGACCCCCTGGGTGCAGCTGGCGCGCTTGTGGTACGAGTAGACGGGGGAGGGGGTTGAATTTGCATCATCAGCTCCTGCATTCACGGCCAGCCTCGGGTCGTCTTGATTTTTTCTTACTACCGGAACACGAAGGGTGAGGAAGGAGCGTGTGAGGTGAGTGCTTCGCAAGTCCGTCTCATGAAATAAATATTCACGCACAAGTAACCGGCGCTGCATCGGTCTTATGCGTCACTGAGGGATCACGTCGCCTGCGATGGTAGAAATATCCTGATACCAATACCTTTAAGAAACTTCCGAGGAGGGATGGAATTCGAAACTATAGCGGAATTCAGGGTACATTCTCCTGCCCTTAGATAAATATGTGGTATACCCTAGTTTGAACTGTTTGAAAGCACAGTCCAGTGCAGGAAGTCGCCTCATCTCCTTCGACACCTGTGGAGTATGGTGAACGTGATAGTACATACCCACCAGAGCGGGGAAAATCGAAAGAAACGAAGATAAATCGACGCAGCACTGTTTACGACTTACTCTACCTTTATTCGTTCAATCCTAAGCCCGATGACCATCAAACAGTTTCATCGTGGCCAGCGATGACGTCCACCGAGTGCGCGCAGCACCAGTGACTTGCGCGTGGGTTGCCGGAAAAAAATGCATACTACTCAAGTAGCCATCTCTTGCAGAGTGTCGTTTTTTCAGGCCTCCTGACGAGACTGAGATATCCTGGGATTATGTCGCATGATAATTGATATTACAGCCCTATCTAAGTAATCTTTTCGAATCGAAAATACATTTCGGTCGAGGACAAGTGCCTCTAATCGCTGTAATAATGTCTGTTTTGTTTATTTATTTCTGCTTGTCCAACAAAACCGTCGACTATTCGTTACAGACTGGCAGAACAACAAGACTACGTTGGTTTTTGGTGGTGAATAGGACAAGGAATCGGAGGAGACTCGCTGTCCAGTCAGATTTCCGTTTTCCCCAGACTAAAGTCCATTTTGACATCCCCTGCTATGTCTGAGAATATGGCATCTTCTCCTTCTTCCATCAGAACTGTATCTCTGAACTTCATTTCTCTCGCTGCAGTAGCAATCAAATTGAACACTCGCAAAAATTAAAAGCAAGAGCCTTCCAACAACTGACTACTCAGAATGACTTCCGAGAAGTTTCAGCATTACATAGGAGACTCGCTGTCCAGTCAAATTTCCGTCTTCCTCAATAATGTCAGCTCCATGGGTGACGGATTTAGTAGCTGCGATTAGGTCGATTGGTGCGCATAAAGAGGCTAGCAGACGTTACTGTACTTTGGAAATCGGAGCAATAATAATCATATTCCCCGGGGATAATACATTATTACACTCCTATGTAATACTAAAACTTATCGGAAGTAATTCTGAGTAGTCAGTTGTTGGGAGACTCTTGCTTTGAATTTTTGCGATTGTTCAATTTGATTCTTACTGCAGCGAGAGAAATGAAGTTCAGAGACACAGTTCTGATGGAAGAATGAGAAGATACCATACTCTCAGACATAGCAGTGGATGTCAAACTGGACTTTAGTCTGATCTCTAAAATTTGACCAACCAGGTTATATTACCGTTTGGGTAACTGGCGCAACCCGCGTCTTGGTTGAACAGTGAAAGCAAGTAAACGGAATATGCGAAAGAAAAAGTTCACCTGGTATGCAAGCCATCTGCAATGCACTTTTTAGGGACCTCAGGACACGCTTGTGACACAATCGAAAGAAATTGATCGAGCGTTAAACCAATATCTTGCAAGTAGTCAATGACATCATCAAGGCGGCCAATGCAGTTCACGTCCGAGGATGTTTCAGTTCCGTGGTCCTCCTCAAGCTGCCACTGTTGCAGTTTCAGTTCTATGTTCCTCAAGATCTAAAAGTACGGAAGGGAAAGGCTATGATCATACCGCAAAGCTGAGTAAGAAACGGTCAAAGCGCAGTTGGAAGCTTACGGCTAAAACGGCCTGCAGGGTGGTATTTATGTCATCAACAAATTTCGGCTGTAATGCGACCACAGAACGGATGATCTCAGTAACGACTTCACGGTTATCGGCGCAATACATCGACGTCAAGCTAATGAACCGGTAGGAATCGAAGACAGACTTCTCATGAACAAGTCTTGCGTATTCTGAATCTGTCAGAAACATGTCCTGTAAGAAAAGATATGATAATAAGCGCCAAAATAGCGTACATTGGAGTGCTTGGATTGGGAGGCCCGTTGAAAGACGAGAAGCGTTAGCGTCTTCAATTGACGTAGTAAGGAAGCGAAACGGAGCAAACTCTGTGGAAGATCTAGGAACCTTTTAATATGCCAACCATACGCATAAAACAACACGGCGTTACCTCGGTCCGGCCTGAAGAACTGAATCAAGGGAGGCGTGGAGCGTAGGACTGTGTAATATCTATCAGACAGTCAGTTTGTTTATTAATTTGCGATACCTCACACCAAAATTTGTCAAAATCTTCAACAAGCAGTTGAGAGTATGCAGATACTATTGAGGACACTTGCAAACTCCAGTTATTGAGCTCATTGTTTGTTGCACCCGGCTTGGGAAAATAAAACTGGAGGTAGACTGTATTCGAACACCAGTGGGCATCCTAAAGGTTCAGATGTCCGATCAATTCAGTTACCAGCAATGGGTACTTCTGAGAACTTGTTTTATCTCTCCTAGTTAAGGACACAATCGACTTCACTGGAGACTCCATTGCAGATTCTCAGGTCCCTGTACAGTTACTTGTGTTCTGCACGCAGGGGAAGATTTAAAGGTCTATTTCAGCTTTTCGTTCGAATTGTGCTAAAGAAATAAAGAAGGAAACCGAACGAACTAAACAGGTTTCAGAGGACGTCACTTTTATTTATACGGAGAAACGGGCTTTCAAGGCCTTGTAAGGGTCTTTTTGTAAACACATAAAGGCGAATGGGGAGCTGGGGAATACATAATCATCAACAGGCTTCAAGGCTACGATCAGAGTAGCAGATTAGGTAACTCGATATAGAGGAATGTCGGCCCACAACAACGCGCAATAGCTCACGCACTGAGAATGGACT